AACATCCATGAATGAAGAATGTAAAACAAATAATATGAGAATCAACACTGAAAAGACAGAGGTAATGTCAATAGGAAAAAAGAAGACAGATATAAACTTAGCAATAGAATACAAAGGCATTAAACAAGCATCTGAGTTTAAATATCTGGGAACTACATTTACCGAAGATGGGAAATTGGATAAAGAAATTGACATTAGATGCAATAAAGCAAACCAAGTATTGGGACAGCTAGCCCCCCTCTTACAGCATAAGACAATCCCAGTCAGCACAAAGAGACATCTTATTCAAAGCATATTTATTCCAACTCTGTGCTACCAGTGCCAGACATGGTCACTCACAACAAACCATAAAAGAAAATTAGTAACCACGGAAATGAGATGTCTGAGAAGGGCTGTAGGAGTGACCATAGACAGCAAGTGAAATGGTTTACCCACTTAGAGAGAATGCCTTGTGACACCATACCATACAAAGCATACATAGAAAGAGAAGAAGGACGTAGAGCACGGGGTAGACCAAGAACAAGATGGAAGGATAACATCAGAGAAACTCTACAACAGCACGATGTGCCTATGGTCGAGACAGCCAGAAGAGCTAGAAACAGAACCTTATATCTCCCTCGACACCCACAGCGGTAAAAGAGGAAGTAAAGAAGAAGAATAAACTAGATTGTGACCGGTACCATCAGTAGTGAAATTCTGCGCTGGCTGCTCAAGATGAGGACGGAGCATGCATGGAATGCGCCGAATGCTGTGATGTCAATTTTTGACTCAGCTCAACTGAACTCAGTAACATTATGAACTCTAATCGGAATGAGGGCCTCGTGGCGTGGACACGCAGTGAACATTGTACTACACGGAAACAGAAGGAACTAACCAGTGGTTCTGGAGAATCAAAAGAAATGGATGATAAAAACACTTACAAAGTTTTAGTCACACACACAAAATGTATGAAAATGTGGGGTGGGGTGGGAGGAGGGAGTGGGAACGGAGGCTTATTCTTTACGTAGGATACTCTTTGATAATGTCCAAGTCTGGCACTGGTAGCAGAGTGTTGGTATGAATATGCTGTTTATAATCTTTTTCCTGGCACTCATATTTATGTTTGGATCTCTTAATAATGGTGACAGTTGGTATATAAGTGCACTGGCTCGTTGGCACCTTGTTTGCATTTCCTGATCTATTCTTCCATCCTCCGAGAATATACTTCCTTGAAATTTAAATTCTGTAACTTGCTTCAGACAGGTACCATTCAACAAGATATGTAGCAGATGTATACATGGTTAATGTCGGCTATTTAGCCTCCTTTTAATATTAATAGACGCCACTCAGCAGCGCTCTTTCCCAAATAGCAACTTTTGTTTTTTAATTGCACTAATTATATTACACATTTTCGTCCCAATGTGGGATGCAATTTTTATTTGAAGCCCCACCCTAGCTTTTACCGAGGGCCCTGAATATAGCCGGGGTATAGATATGGCCTAACGGCTGAATGTGGTTTCTGAGACCTCTCCACGGGTGATCCTCATCCGCATGGTGGCACTGACATCTAAGCCCACACGTTCCAGCAGCTCTGATTCAGGTGAAACTACATCATTTTTTCATTATTTAATGTACCAAAAAGTGGCAATGATCAGGGATCCAGTCTGTGCTTTTGTCCTGACACCCCCCCCCCCCCCCCCCCCCCCCCCTCTCCCCCCCCCCCTGATCTCTCCCGAAGCCAGGCCATCTATATTATTTTTGTGGCTTGCTTTGCAAAAATAATATTTTAAATTGTCACGTTCAACTAGCATCCCTGAATGGTGGAGCTTTTGGTTATAATTGTGACTAGGTTATGAGTGCCATATAAAATGGCTTAGCATTGCTCACCACCAAGTAGCTGTGAACAGAACTCTTGTAGTGTTGATGCAATCACAGGCAGATAGATTGGTTGGTGCTGCATCACTAAGTGGTAAACGGATACATGACAAGCTAGATGTTTTCAATGCCTTTTCAGAGCAAGTAAACATTGCGGAGGTGGTCATAGGTTCCAATGAGCATCAAGGAAGACTGACCAAATTGATCTGAGCTGATAGGTGGTCCCAAACTAAAAGAGGTATCAGGAAATATCTTAGAAAATAAAGGTGACTGGTATCATAGATATTGGAACTTGAAGGTTTGAACAAACCAACCAATAAAATTTTAGGTGACTGAGTGCCCTCTCCCTTAGACAATGTGCAAATTGGCTAAGTGCCACCACCCCCCCCCCCCCCCATAACCATGCTTAGATGTTTTTACTTTTAAAGTAGATACATTTTATATTATTCAAAATCTGTTACTATATTTTATTGCTATTCAACAATTATTAATAATAAGCATTATTATTGCCCATTTTTAACAAGGATTATGTCCACTGACACCCCCCCCCCTTTCCAGCCAGAAGAAGAAGAAGAAGAAAAAAAAGATATTTTTATGTATATGTCACTGTATCTTGCCAGATGCATACTACAGAATTAGACCAATATACAATAAAACATAAAATAAACTTTATAGCTGAATTACACAACAAACAGTTCATTCTTTCAATACAAGTGTTACTGTTTGATTTCCAACTGACCAGCATGTCTTTCTGTTCACACAGCATAACAGTTTGTTTTTTATATCTTTTGTTACATTTCCAGTCCCCTTATAACTGGTCAACCTTCTGCAGCGGCAAAGTGGTTAGTCTATGTGTTTGACCACAGTAGTCATGTGCTCCCTAAAAAAACAAGACCACATCCGCCTTGTCTTGCATCAGTTCATCATTCAGTGGTCATGTGCTCCCTAAACGGTCAAGACCACATCTGCCAGTTCATCATTCAGTGGTCATGTGCTCCCTAAACGGTCAAGACCACATCCGCCTTGTCTTGCATCAGTTCATCATTCAGTGGTCATGTGCTCCCTAAACGGTCAAAACCACATCTGCCAGTTCATCATTCAGTGGTCATGTGCTCCCTAAACGGTCAAGACCACATCCGCCTTGTCTTGCATCAGTTCATCATTCAGTGGTCATGTGCTCCCTAAACGGTCAAGACCACATCCGCCTTGTCTTGCATCAGTTCATCATTCAGTGGTCATGTGCTCCCTAAACGGTCAAGACCACATCTGCCAGTTCATCATTCAGTGGTCATGTGCTCCCTAAACGGTCAAGACCACATCCGCCTTGTCTTGCATCAGTTCATCATTCAGTGGTCATGTGCTCCCTAAACGGTCAAGACCACATCTGCCTTGTCTTGCATCAGTTCATAATTCAGTGGTCATGTGCTCCCTAAACAGGCAAGACCACATCCGCCTTGTCTTGCATCAGTTCATCATTCAGTGGTCATGTGCTCCCTAAACGGTCAAGACCACATCTGCCTTGTCTTGCATCAGTTCATCATTCAGTGGTCATGTGCTCCCTAAACGGTCAAGACCACATCTGCCTTGTCTTGCATCAGTTCATCATTCAGTGGTCATGTGCTTCCTAAATAAACATGACCAAATCCGCCTTGTCATGCATCAACTTATAATCCAGTGGTGTAAAAGCCGCTATCTACTCTCTTTTCATTTCCCAAAACATCAAAGAAAGTTTACTCCCGGCGACTTCTGATATGATAAATAAATAGGGATTTTCTGGACAGAAACAGGTTTAGGATGGTAGATGGTCAGTACACTTTAATATATTATGACTTAGAATCAAGATCTATCTTCATTATATTATGACTTAGAATCAAGATCTATCTTCATTATATCATGACTCAGAATCAAGATCTTGCTTCATTATATCATGACTCAGAATCAAGATCCTGTTTCATTATGTCATGACTCAAAACCAAGATCCCACTTCATTATATCATGACTCAGAATCAAGATCTAACTTCATTATATAATGACTCAGAATCAAGATCTAACTTCATTATATAATGACTTAGAATCAAGATCTAACTTTCTTATATTATGACTCAGAATCAAGATCTAACAGCATGAACAATGAACCTTAATTTCAAGTTGCATCATAAGAACACATCATGAGAACTTATTGTACTGAGCTTAATAACAGATCCCATTTAATGCAGGGATATGTCCATAAGTGTCCCAGCCTCTTCCAGAGATCTCACATGAAGAATCTCAGGATAGCGCATGGATAATGCTGATGGTACACATTTACAGGGATGCTATATATCTTCCTTCCATTTTTGGAACCGATGTGACCTTTTCAGCTGGAATTTTTCAAATTACAACTGTCCACTGAATTTTAACATGCACAACATAGACATAGGTTGTCTAAGTTTCAACCATTCTCTTATTTAAAAAAAAACTGAAACAGTTCAACATGGTGAGGCAAGTGAATTCTGCTTGAGCCAGAGCCAGAGATCAAAACCTCTGACCTGCTCTAACACCTTGATCCTTATTTACATGAAACTAAATAATCATAGGGGGCTGCGTGGTCTCGAGGCATGGTGTCTGCTCTGAATGCTGAAGGTCCCAGGTTCAAGCCCCGCAAGGGCTAGGATTTTTTTTCACAGACTTCTAGTAATTTTCCCTTATCTCTGGGTAGTGAGATAGGATGCCTGTGTGTATTGTTACGCATGTAAAAAATCCCTTATCAGTTGGAAATCGAAAAAGAGTAGCCTAACGGTGCTGACTGGCCAAAAGTTTGAGTAAAATATCTACCCGAAGTATTTTAGGATCCTCGCCGGTGCTACAGAGTTTGTGCACTGCGCTGAGATTCTTCGAACTCAGGCTTGAATTAGAAGTATAACGGAGCACTTATGGGTTACTACCCTTGTGCCATGATGTTGATCCATCGTCTAAACTAAACCTAAATAATCAGAGCTATATTTTTATTTAGAAAACAGCAAGACAGTAGGTCAACTTGGCAACACGATGGATTTCCAGCACAAGACTATTTATAGTTACAAAGTGAATATCAAGTAAGCTTTAATAGACATTTAGAAAAAAAAAAATGCAGTTTCAGAACACAACTCAAAAATATATTCCAATGTTCACACTGGGCCTTCTCCTTCGATGCCATGGAAGTTCATTGCAGCAAAATTCTTGGCTTCCTTGAGTCTTGAACGACTGTAGAAAACAGGATGCATTAATATCAGATGAAACAGAAGATATAGTCTCAGGTTTAACAGATATTCACATATGAGGAAACATGAATCAAGTAATGCAATCTCTGATCTAGGAACTGTCTGTCAAAATGAAAACTGGTCATACCCTTTATAAAAGATATGAACTTCATATTAATTGTTGAGAAAATCACAAAATGACTGAGTGAATTTCTATACATCACTGGCTAGCATCTATACATCACTGGCTAGCATCTATGCATCACTGGCTAGCATCTATACATCACTGGCTAGCATCTATGCATCACTGGCTAGCATCTATACATCACTGGCTAGCATCTATGCATCACTGGCTAGCATCTATGCATCACTGGCTAGCATCTATGCATCACTGGCTAGCATATATACATCACTGGCTAGCATCTATACATCACTGGCTAGCATCTATACATCACTGGCTAGCATCTATACATCACTGGCTAGCATCTATACATCACTGGCTAGCATCTATACATCACTGGCTAGCATCTATACATCACTGGCTAGCATCTATACATCACTGGCTAGCATCTATACATCACTGGCTAGCATCTATACATCACTGGCTAGCATCTATACATCACTGGCTAGCATCTATACATCACTGGCTAGCATCTATCTATTACTGGCTAGCATCTATACCTCACTGGCTAGCATCTATACATCACTGGCTAGCAACTATACATCACTGGCTAGCATCTATACATCACTGGCTAGCCTCTCTGGCTTTTTTACACACCTACTGCATCTGCTGCCTGTTGAAGTGTTGGTAGATTCTGCAGTTTGAGATCTTGGTGGTTCAGATGGTAAACTGTCCATCAACATCTTCAGTGCATCAAACCTACAACAATAAAAGCAAAACTTTAAAGCTGAAACTCTAACTTAAAAAGAAAAAGAGAAATTAATATCTGGGTGCTATATTTTCAAGTTTTTATACAAGAAAGTCAGTGTGAATAATTTAGGCATCCAGTTGTTCATTAATCATATTAACTTCTAGAAACTATTACTCTACTTTTTAAAATTCTGACAAACTGGCAAGGAAGTATCATTCTACTTATTACACTAAAATATTATGTTGAAAAAAATATCACCAATAAGAATTGAAAAGAGAATTGGGCTATCCTCCGAATAACGGTCGGTAAAGATAGCGGCCGCAAAATATCCTTTCGAGCCACAGTCACGTGACCTAATATGCGGTTCTCCGGCGACTACCGCCACCGCCACATGGCGTGAATTGGGGCTAAACTAGATGGCTAGGACTCACGAGCAAAGCTTCAGGAGATGCGGAAGCTGCTGCTCGTAGGCCCTAGCCATCTAGTTTAGCCCCAATCCACTGGGGGGACTCGTGGTGGTGGCGGTAGTCGCCAGAAAACTGCAAATTAGGTCGCCAGAAGTGCGCAATTGACGCGTGACTGTGGCTCGAAAGGATATTTTGTGGCCGCCATCTTTACCGACTGATATGCAGAGGATAGCCGAGAATTGAATAGGGGCATGAATGCACATGTGTAGAAGTACATAAGCACAGATACAAACTTATAAGCAGCTTTTTATGTGAAGTAGCTATTTCAATTTGTTCATACCTTGAAGTATACAGTGCTAAACTTAATTTTTTATTTTAATATTTTTTTAATACCAATTGCTACTTAATGAAGTATGTAGTAAATAACACATTAGCCATCTTTACTTCTCAGAACATTTACTGAGACCTATTTCAGAGTTTGCAATGGGGCACTTTCAACAAACATCAGATAAAGGCAGTTATACTTTTTGTGTGGCCACATTATAAGAAAAGTAAAACTGGAAAGATTCATGAAAAAAAAAGAAAAAGAGGAAGACAATTAGATATTCTTGACACCCCTTTGTCACGGCATAGAAGGGTTTCATTAGGTGAACTGATATATGATGTCAGGAATCACAATATGTGAAAAAAATGATTACCCATGCCAGGCATCTGATGATGATAACTGTTTCAATACCAATGGTAATATCAGCTATTATACTACCACTACATATAACAGCTGGAATAATTTGTTAAAACAAAAATATTAACTTGATGTTTTTATTATAAAGAAATAATCTGCTAAGCAAGAAGGAATCTAAAACAATAATTTGTAAAGAACGATCACATCAAACAAATACCTTTCATTGATAGACTTCATCAAGGTTCCCTGTTCATCTGAGGCTGCTTTCAGCTGGGAGTCCAGCTGCCGGACAGTGATCACTGGCAAAAGAAAGTAGTCAGAACTCACAATACCACCCTCAGTTCAGTAAGTAAACAAACTATACCGCACATTTTCCAGAACAAAATGTGGGCCATTATTTTAGCATTATGGAAACATTCTGGGTCATTATGGTGGGTCATTATGAAAACAAATGCAGTCAAATACAAAAGATTTAATTTGGAAATGAAAAGAGGGTTGCGGAAAAGACACACAAAAAGACAAACAGTAATAAATTAAACAATATACTGCTCAGCCCATCTGAGCTATATGGGACAAGTTAAATATTTCAGCCATATTAAGAGATTCAACCCTCCATTATAAATCGTAGTTAGGAAAAAACTGGAATGCAGACGACCAGTAGGTTTATTTGTGATACAGTTTAGAAGACACCATTAACAGATAGACAAAAAAAATTGTCTGAGAGTGTACACCTAGGCTGAACATAGAGACTGTTTGCAATGATTAGCTAAGAGATACTTATATTTGAATGCTGAATTAATAATCAATATCACAGCCCTCGGGGCACTCCCATAAGCACTCCATCCCCATCTTTAACAGCAAGTGAAGACTTCCCAGTCTGATGGTACCAGTAACTGTCTGATTGTGTATTTGTCGTGCGTTTCCCTTAAATGTTGAGCTTTAATCAGATCCTCAGATGACTCCTCCCAGTGCTATTCTCCTCAGATTGTAATGATCTGTCTGTGCTTCCACACTGTTCACTACTTATATTGATCATGGGACAAACACTTTCTAATGAGTTAAACTAAATGTTGTCATTCCCGACTGCCCCCAGTTTTTAATGTGTGCAACCTGCATATGTGACCTACTTATTTTTAATGTTTATTTGAGAGAAACCAAGGTATCTTAGACGACTGCCCAAAAGAGACAAGTGGACCTCTGATACCTTAAACAAAACAACCATGATTCTTTCAAAATGTGCAACTTGGATTCTACAACCTAAGGTAGATTCTGTAGCCTCTCAGTCATGTCTCCCACAATCAGAGAATCTTTTTGATTGAGTAGGAGAAAGATGATCGGTCACTTACTGCTTGAGGCAGACATTGGTCTCATGAGGGGAACACCATCTTGTTTGACATCAGACTTTTTCAATGTAACCTGGGGAAGAGAGAAAACAAAAACAAAAACCCAGATATTCACAGTTTCAAAAAAATCATCAGCTGACTAGTCCAAACTTCTTCATCATTATCATCAGGTACCTTGCCGACTGGTGAGGATGATCATGCATCTCCATGTTACGTTAAAGCTTTCAGTTTCAGGCAATTGTAACTTATAAGTATTTCAGGAATAGGCTAAAACAATGACAAAATGAGACACAATTAGTGAAGGTAAGACTGGCAGATTTTCCTTATGTAATAACAATTTGGAGCAGACAATAAATGGATGGGCATATAATGTCACTGGGAGATTCACTATGAGTTGCTCTAGAATAAGATTATAGTAAGATTTACAGTCTTTACTTGTGAATTATCATTATACAAAGTATTTTATATTGTTGCTTGATTCTGATCACTTTTAATGTACATATGACTTCTCTTTTCAAACATTTCAGAAGAGGCAATTTATACCAGTGCAAAAAAAAATCTACAGCATTGGTGGGATACAAATCTATGTAAACTCAAGTCATGAGTGTTATAAATAATCATTTGAATGTAGTATTGTAAGTTTTCTCATTTGAGTTTAGTCTGGACAGTGACTTATTCATTCTGTTCTTTTCGAATTTCCATCTATCAAGAGATTCTCAACATGAACAGAGGTCTTATCAGTAACTGAGCTTTGTGCTAAGAAGATTAAGTGCTCAGTTCACTATCAAAAGATCATGAGAAAATAATACCATCCTTTTTATATTTTGTAAACATCTAGTTTGAGAATGTAGGTGGAGACAACCACAGCAGCTTTCCGTTGGCCTGAGAACTAGCTGGACTCTTATGATGTGATTATAACAGATGCATCAATCCTGCTGAGAAAAGTGGAAAAAGTATCTGTGTGGAATTTTCTTTGAATTTTTTCTCTCAGCTATGCCTGTGTTTTAGGAAACAAACTGCAGACTGAGTGGCTGGTTCTGCACTACTGAGTAGTGAATTGATGCATGGCAAGCTATATGTGTTCAAAGTCTTTTTTTTTTTTTTGACCAAGTGAACAACGTGGAAATGCAGACAAATCATTGCATCTGAAGAGTGACTAAGGGATCTAGTCGTGATGTTACACGCAGAGGAAACAAGATGGACATATAATCAAACCGCAACTAGTATCATCCTCACTTAAACTTTTAGCTGGCTGCTGAAGATGAGAACAGAGTGCACATGGAAATGTCACGAGTGCTGTGGTGGTTCCCAACTCAACTCAACTCATTCATATTTTGTAAAATCTACAGCCTAAGTCACAAATCAAATTAGTTATGCTCAAACCAAAGACAGAGAAAAAATCTCTAAGCTTCTTTGAAACCTAGTAGAACAAACGAACGAACAAACTTTATTTTCAAAGGGTTACAAATTGGGCACGCAGGCCCGTCTGACATTTGGCCCTTCTAAGCTCTCATTTTTCAGAGTACCAATACCTGTTATCAATAATGCATGTTATGGATATAATAAAGAAATATATACTATAGATTGTAGATAGTAGATTGTATGAAGAATATTACCTTCCAGTGAATAAACAAACATTAGAAGCAAAGAAGATAAATGCCTCAGAACTTCAGTGCCACCTTGGAAACTGAATACCTGGCACATGCCAATCACATGACTAAGCTGACAACATAACATCTTCAGCATCTTCACCCGCAGGAGAAGGAATGAACTCCAGAAGAGATTTCATCTGGAGAGGTAGAGGGGGAATCTGGAAGAATTACCACTGCTGAAATAAAAAATCTTTTGACCATTTGGTCAAAAAGGCAAGAAGTTGTTGAGAGGTGGTATCCTGAAAGCGCCCCAGTTAAGAGGTGTGTAAACTTATTTAATAATAACATCACTGAACATTTTAGAAAAATAAAAAAAATGGTCACCAACACCAGAGCACTTTTGAAAGCTGGCTGTCAACAAAAACTAGTGACCCGAAATCTTCTACAAGTGGTGAATGACTACGATATGAAACACCAAAAAGGATTCTTGATGCTATCATGGAAGTCGTCCCGTCCCATATTCAAAACAAAAATCTCCCTAAATCTCCATTCCTCCTCCTATTTCTATGTCATCATTTTGATCACTGTACAGTAAATAAAATGTTTTTATAAATTCTTTATTTATTTATGTTTGTATTCAAATATGATCCTTCATTCATTGGCACCTTTCCGTCTTTCCAGACGATAGTGTTATATTGCGCTATGAGGAGGCATGAGACTCACAGCCCATGGCGATGGCGTGACTAGCAAGACCCGCCCATGTCAAGAAAATCTTCCACAATGATAGCATGGGATTTCAGTAACAACATTTAATTCGTTTCTTTTCAGATGCTCAGCTTTTTTCCTTTCTGCAATCATGTTTTCCTTCAGTCTCATTCCCTTCCTGATACGCCCTTTCCACACAACACGGTCCATAGAATTTTGTTCCCATGACATTGACATTGATCATTATGTTTTACTTTATTTACAGTGTACAGTAGTTAGGAAAATACATTTTAAAATTTAAGTTTATCAGACCCAAGAAATAGAGGATGCTTTTCAAGATTAGAAACTGGTACTCGCGGCATGGATAGGTTTAAGGAAAGCTTTTGACTAGGTTTGGAAGGAGGGGCTTTTGATGAAATTGAGAAACTATAAAGTAAATGGAAGAATGTACAATTAGATTAAAACATATCTACATAACAGAAGAGCCAGGGTACCGGTAGATGGTTTCAAAAGTAAAAAAGTTCTACTGCGACATGGTGTCCCTCAAGGTGGTGTCCTGTCGCCCACACTTTTTCTCTTATTCATCAACGACCTGGTTGCTGAAATACCAAATGGAATCAAAATGGCAATGTATGCCGACGACCTGGTACTGTGGTGCACCGATGAACATGCAACAATAGCCACAAGAACACTACAGTGGGCTACATATGCACTTGGGGCATGGGCAAATAGATGGTGTGTCAGCATCAATACAGACAAATGTAGCACCACACTCTTCACTCTCTCCCCAAAGCAAAAAGCGGGCATCATCAAAATAAACGGAAAACCCCAAAGAGATGATAAAGAGCTCACGTCCTTCAGAGTCACATTAGATGACAGGTTGACATGGAGAAAACATATCAACAAGGCAGCAACCAAAGCCAGGAGGAAGACAGCCATACTAAGAAAACTAAGTCGAACCACATGGGGAGCCAGTGGGAAAATACTCAATAAAGTATACAAGCAGAGCATACAACCATACTTGGAATATGGGTCAATTCATGGTGTTCAGCATCTAGTACCACATTAAAGGATTTGGACAAAGTGCAAAATCAAGCACCCAGAGTCATCACAGGAGGGATGAAATCAACCCCCATATTAGAAATGCAGAAAGCTAGGAAAACACAGGCACTGAGAATCGCAGAGAAACAAAGTTGCAAACACAAGCTGAAAAGTTCCTCAGTATGCCAGACTACCCCATGAAAAATAGATTTCAGAACCTAGCCTTGGGACGGTTAAAAAGAAGCAGCTTTATACATCAAGCAAAAAGAATATGTAGACAAACTGCTGACCTTCCAGAAATTGGTTATCCACTTAACAGTATTCCAGAACAAACCCCGTGGAGAGAGAAATGCAAACTAACAGTACAAATCCAGACAAATGTGAAAGGAATATTTGACAAGAAAGAACAAGATAGTGTTTAAAGCAGAATGGCCACCCTCAGTTATATTGATGAAGAATACCCACAAGAACTATGGGTCAGAGTCTATACAGAAAGTGCAGTTAGAAATGGTGGGGCTGGAGTGTACATAGAATTCTCAGATGGTACTAGGGATAAGTCCAGCTTACCAACCGGAAAGTACTGCCATAACTATGATGCAAAAACTCAGGCAATCAAGATAGCAACAGAGAAAATGCTAAATACCAATCTTGGCTTACAGTATGTGGTAATGCTGACAGATGCAAAATCAGTATTCGAAGCACTCCAGCCTAGGAAACTACCAGAATTGCAAACACTGCTGACACAACTCAGCCTTCAGCGAAGAGTTGTAATGCAGTGAATACCGTCACATTGTGGAGTGCCTGGAAATGAAAAAGCTGATCAACTGGCAGGAGAAGGTGAGACAAAAGTGCAGCCGGATGTACCAGTCACATACCACCAAAAGAAAAGAATCATTAAATCAATCAGGAAACCACCAGCCCCAGCACAAGACGACTATTTTATTATGGACAGATCAGAATCATTATCCTTCGCCTCAGAACAGGGCACAACCGATTATGTAACCACATGTACACAAAATTCATGACAGGTGTATCAGCAATGTGCATCTGTGGAAAGGTGCCCCAGTTAGCAGAGCATGTACTCCAGGATTGCGCCGAATTTGACACATTAAGGCAAACCTTTTGGCCAGAAAGAACAACAGTGGAACGTAAACTCTATGGACCACTGAATGAATTAACAACAACAGTGAAATTTATACAGGAGACAAAATTGCTGATATAGACAACGTATTTCAGGCGAACAAAAGAAGAAGAAGAGAGACCCTGGAAAGGATTATTATTCTAACATTATTTTTAATAGGAAAACTTGCCTTGGAAGTCAGACAATTTGGAATTCCAGTGCCCTCTTGGAAGAGATTATATTTCAATTCAAAGATACCACTGTATTCTTGAAACAACAACAACAAAAACCCCTCTACACAAAAATGCAATAAAAAAAATCAAAATATGTAATCGCATAAGCATAGCCAATTCACACTTCGACAAAGTGTTTGGCCAAACATTACTGCTCCAATTACTGTTTGGGTATTTTTTATTTAAGTAAGTAAAAATTAAAGGTCACTCACTGGGAACATTTTAATGCCTTGTATGTGTTTTTAACTTACCCCATCAATGACTTCTAGTCCAGTTAGCACTTCAGCTAAAAAATGATGGTAGTCAGGCATCTCCCCATCAGACATTGTGAAGGGATTGTGCTCAACATATAGCTCTACCAGATCCAAGCAGCCTGACAAAGTGCCCTAAAGTAGTTAAGACACAATGTAAATATATACATACACACACACACAATATATATAGTAAAGTAAGTAAAGGTCCCTTTTCCACAACTTTAGGCAAATTGGGAATACAGGGCTAGACCTATATTTTTATAGACCAATCGGCACTTAGTGGGTGATGTGGTCAGCACCACGACGGCCACCTTTACTTCCCAGGACTGCCCCTGGTACCCACTCAAGGCTGGGTCAACCTGTTAGTCAAGGTCATTTTTGACAAAAGTCTGGCTCTGTCAGGACGCGAACCCACGACCTTCCAATCTGCAGGCAGGTGTCTAACCGCGTTAGTATTACAGGGGATGCCTCAGGTGCACTTAGAGGCAATGACTAAAGATATGGCAGCAGTGAAGACAAAGATGAAGTATAAGACGGGATATTCAATATAAAGTTTTAGTTAGACCTCTGTTTCTACTACACCTACATTTAAGGCAGCAGTGGAGACAAGGATGAAGTAGAAGACGGGATATTCAATATAAAGTTTTAGTTAGACCTCTGTTTCTACTACACCTACATTTAAGGCAGCAGTGGAGACAAAGATGAAGTAGAAGACGGGATATTCAATATAAAGTTTTAGTTAGACCTCTGTTTCTACTACGCCTACATTTAAGGCAGCAGTGGAAACAAAGATGAAGTAGAAGACGGGATATTCAATATAAAGTTTTAGTTAGACCTCTGTTTCTACTACACCTACATTTAAGGCAGCAGTGGAGACAAAGATGAAGCAGAAGACGGGATATTCAATATAAAGTTTTAGTTAGACCTCTGTTTCTACTACACCTACATTTAAGGCAGCAGTGGAGACAAAGATGAAGTAGAAGACGGGATATTCAATATAAAGTTTTAGTTAGACCTCTGTTTCTACTACACCTACATTTAAGGCAGCAGTGGAGACAAAGATGAAGTAGAAGACGGGATATTCAATATAAAGTTTTAGTTAGACCTCTGTTTCTACTACGCCTACATTTAAGGCAGCAGTGGAGACAAAGATGAGTTAGAGGATGGGAGAATAAGATTTTCTTTCACTATCCCGGGCAAAATAAAAGTAATGTGTGCGCGTGTGTGTGTACGCACACTAGATTTTATTGCCCATCTTCACCCGTGATAGTGAAAGAAAGAAAGTCTTCCTTTCATTAGGCCTCTTATCATGTCAATAGCTTATCACTGATACTTAACACCATAAGCACCATCAATAACACACATGCGTGGTAACGTAACTGCTACCTGCATGCCAGTCAACCTGAATGTCAAGGGTTCAAATCTGCCGTGAGTATTTTTTTTTCAATGACTTTGGCTGCTAGGTAGACCCAGTCTAATATGGGTACCAGGCAAAGGTCATGGGAAGTAAAAGAGGGTCAGCATGATGTTAAGCACATCCTTGTTTTAGTGCTGACTGGTCTAGTCTAGCATCACACAGCCGATATGCCAGTGGTATAAATAGGGCTTTTATTACACACACAAAAACATAACAATCATTGATGGAAAACTGGTTACTAACATTATTTATAACTGAACATTTTAACATGGTTACTAACATTGTTTATAAGTGAACATTCTAACACGGTTAATAATATTATTTATAAATAAACATTCTAACATGGTTACTAACATTATTTATAAATAAACGTTCTAACATGGTTAATAATATTAATTATAAGTGAATATTCTAACATAGTTACAACCATTTTTTATACAAAAACATTCTAAAATGGTTAATACTATTAATTATAAGTGAATATTCTAACATGGTTACTAACATTATTTGTAACTGAACACTTCTAACATAGTTACTAACATTATTTATAAGTGAACATTATTACATTGTTAATGAAAATATTTATGAGTGAACATTATAACATGGTTGCTCACTTATTTTTTATAAGTGAACATTATAACATGGTTGCTAACATTATTTATAAGTGAACATTATAACATGGTTGCTAACATTATTTATAAGTGAACATTATAACATAGTTGCTAACATTATTTATAAGTGAACATTATAACATGGTTGCTAACATTATTTATAAGTGAACATTATAACATTGTTGCTAACATTATTTATAAGTGAACATTCTAACATGGTTATTAATATTATTTATAAGTCAACATTCTAACATGTTTACTAGTTTTACGTAAAAAGTGAAATATTAAACAAAAACACATACAATTTCATCCCAGCTAGAGATCTGGTTGTCGCAGGCAAGCAACACTTGGAGGCTGGGAAACAAACTGGCAACACAGGATAGTACTTTCACATAGTTAGTGTTAATGTTCAGCTCCTCCAGAGATCTAACAGAAATATGAGGTACAGTCAGCAATGATAAAGTGCCCAGCTTATTCATTTTGTTTTCATACAGTCTCTGGAGTAAAGTACTTGATGGGATACAGCATAGTACACCAGGCAATACATGGTACCCTTACCCATTCACAGCATTCATAAAATCAAGTAAAAGATTCCCCTTTCATGCCATGGTGTGTACTTAGTATATGGAGATAGCCCCAAATATCCAGCTCAGTCGGTAAAGTAAAAGGACTCATTTCCACGCCTTCAGGTTTTTAGGGCAGCCAAGGTCATTTCTGAAAACAAAAAGTCCGGCTCCATCAGAATTAAACCCACAAACTTTGGATCCGCAGGGAGTGTCTAGCCACCACACCATGACAGCTCTTCAGTTCAGTTGGCACTCACTGAGTAATAATGATAACATCATGTAACCTAGAAATCCTGCCAATGGGGGTTGGGGGGGGGGGGGATCACATACATGGGTAGTTGATGTGGTATACCTAAACTTTTCAGATAAATCTACCTTGATTAATCAAAATCATGAAATCCTAACAACGGAATGATAAATGAATGTTGAACATTAAATTAAGAGTCAACCTCACAGCACTTGGGACAAGTGCTCCGTCCCCATCTTTAGCTGCAAGCAAAGAGTTACAATTCTGACGGCACAAGCAACTGTCTGATTGTGTATGTGTCTTGTCTTTCTCTGGAGTGTTGAGCATCAGCCCGATGCCCTGGTAACTCCTTGCAGTGCCATTCACCTCAGACCGTAATGATCGTGCCTCCACACTGTTCACTCTCTCCCAAAGGACTCTTACAACATTTAGCTTTCCATACACCAGTTCACCACCAAGTGATGCAAAACCAGCCAGTCGATCTGCCTGTATGTTACCCAACACAAATAAGGGCACAAAAGGATCCTTGCTGGTGCTATAAAGTTCATGCTCAGAGATTATCTTAGTGCCACTTCACAGCAAGACTAGAATGAACATAGTTCATGAATCCAAATGAATTAGTCAGTTCCCTGTGTGCGTTCTGGGGCCCTATTTTAGGGGAAAAAAGAATAGACCCACTGCCTACCCAAAAGCATGTCGTAAGAGTCAACTAATTGGGAGTTTCCTTCGAAGTTGGAGCTCATCTGCCTGAGAAGCAAGGAAACAGCAGTCTGCATTCAAATGAGTCAGATCTGTAAAATGGATGCAATCCCAACAATCAGGTTCTAGAACAGGACTGCAGTCCAAAAGTGGATGAACAACCAGAACTTTCTGCCAGAGTTTACAGCTGGTGAACGCAAAGAAGAAGAAGAATTAGTCAGTTTGTCTATTCAAATATTATAAATGAAAATGAAAGGCAACCTCTATCTTTACCTAATTAAAAATAAAAGTTATACTGTACCTTAATTTTATAAGAGAATTCAAAGTTTTTATCAGATTATGGGAGACATCCAATATCTGAAATAGAATAACATAATACAACAAGCAGGCAAACACACACACAAACATATAAAATCAGTGACATTAGTTCTGTGGCAGATACTGTAATGATAATGGTAGACCTTCACATACAAAGATGGCAGTTACTACCTTCCTCATCTCATTTCCTACCCAGACTATTCCAATCAAATTGTGAAAACTACCCAGTTGCCCAGTTTATTATGCTGAGTTCACCCTATATATGAATGGACAGGAAAAATCAATCTACACTGGCTTGGGAATGATCTGGTGCGAGCCTTGGTGGGAACTAAATATATGTCAGTAGATCATTTATATATTTCTCTGAAGCTGGCAGAATTGACAGAGAAAAAGAAACTAGATGTCAGAAAGCAAGTGCACTTATATACCAATTGTCACCATTATTGGGACATCTAAGCAAAACTATGAGTGCAGAGAGACAGATTATTAACAACATATTCATTCCAACATTAAGCTACCAGTGCCAAACATGGACACTATCTGCCCATATATGCAAAATCACCACCTGCGAGATGAGTTGCCTAAGAAAAGCAAAATAATGAAACTATCGGGCAAATGGTAGGAATGACACCTAGTACTAGATTCATAGAGAAACAGCAGATCAAGTGGTTTGGCCATCTCGTTAAATTGCTGAAAGATCAAATCCCATCACAAGCACTACATCTCAAAGATCAACTACAAGAGCAAGATGATGGCGCGGAAAATATTGACTGACAACATTAGAGACACTTTACGCCTTCAAGGCATGTCAATAGCCAGTGGCAGTCAGCGTGCACTGGATCGCAAATTATTCTTCCCCATGAAGCTTAACAGCAGAAGTAGTTTATGATGATGATGATGATTGATAGCATGTGATATCCTGTCTATCCAACACTAGCATGGGACCTCTGGCTCTGCTTTCATTGTGAATTACTAACAGGGCTCTCTGTGATGCACTATCTGTGGCAGTATTGAAACATGTCTGAACCATCTGATTTGTTGTTTTCTGGTGTAGTTTAGCACTGGCGCTGTCCCAGCTTGTTTCCTGATATCCTCATTTCTGATCCTGTTTCTTTTTGTTACAGTTGGGATTCATTGTAGATTTCTGTAGTTTTGGTTTAATAACAGTTATCTTTATATTCATAAATATACATACATATACATTTACAATCACCCAATTTACATGCAGTACGGTATATGTGATTAGGAAAATACTGTTCGTGATACAACTGGCAAACTTGACTAGTTAAGCTGTTTGCCCATGTACAATCAAGGATCTAAGTCTGGTTTAGGATTCCATTTTTGAGTGCAGGTATTTTGAATATTCCTGATGGTGGCTGCTGGAGATAAAGATCATGCTTTGTGCATTAATCTTGTGAGTGACCAGCTGCTATCCAGAGAGAGAGAGAGAGAGAGAGAGAGAGAGAGAGAGAGAGAGAGAGAGAGAGAGAGAGAGAGAGAGAGAGAGAGAGAGAGAGAGAGAGAGAGAGAGAGAGAGAGAGAGAGAGAGAGAGAGAGAGAGAGAGAGAGACATTTAGGATAAAACCTGGCACGATTAGGTCAATCCTTTCTGCTTCAAACATCTTTTATTCAGAAACTTATCATTTTGAGTATGCTAAATAAAAGAATTAACTAGCAGATCCCTGGTCTGTGATCCCATGAACTTTTAAAAACTATGTACAAAGATTACCAAAATTGTACCTGTAAGTTTGGCAGGTTAGCAAGACCTGAAAGGTCAGATATCTGATTCCTGGAGAGGTCAACTTCCTGTAGCTTCTTGCACTTAGTTAAGTCACCAGTGTTCTTTATTCTATTTCCAGAGGCAAATAGTTCGCTAAGGTTGGGTAAGTAGCTCAGTGGCTGTAGACAAAAATGCAAGATATAAATGTATTGTTGTTCTCCCTAATCATCATCATCATAAACCACTTCTGCCGTTAAGAGTCATGGGGAGGAATAATTTGCGATCCAGTGGACACTGGCGGTGACTGGCGACTGTCATGCCGTGAAGGCTCAAGTGTCTTTAATGTTGTCATTCCATTTTTTCGTAGCCGTCCTCTTACTCTTGTAGCTGATTTTCTGAGATGTAGTGCCTGTGATGGTATTTGATCTTGCTGCATTCTAACAAGATGGCCAAATGACTTGATCTGCTGTTTCTCGGTGAATCTAGTACCAAGTTTCATTTTCACAATCTGTCTGATAGTATCATTTTTCCCTTGATCTCGGATGGTTAGGTCGGCAACTCTTCTCAGGCAACGCATGTCTCAAGTGGTGATTTTGCTTTTAAGAGCTTTAGATAGTTTCCATGTCTAGTACTGGTAGCTTAATGCTGCAATGAAAATGCTGTTTTCCTGAGGTGGTTGTTAATTTGTAGTAATACATATGTGGACCAATATGAGTTAACGCAACTGCTCAGCATGGCATTAAGGTCACTGTTAATGGAGTAGGTGGGTGGCTGAATGACTAGATTAGTGTGGGTAAATGTTCTGTTTGGGACAGAAAGACAGCATCATTAGTATCCCCACTGCTGTCCATGTAGGCTTTATAACATTTACAGCAACTGCTGGATATTGTGGGGATAGAGAGTGCTAATTAAGAACTTTCCTTGAATATTAAGAAAGTGGAATTAATGGTTATATCAAAGAAAAAGATAACACCACAATGAGATATCTCAAATGAAGAAACAAGACTTAACCAAGTCAATAAATTCAAATATCTATCTAGGAACAGCCATATCATCGGAGGGAAAATGTGTAACAGAGATTAAAAGCAGAATAGATCAAGTGAAGGCAGCATTTCAGAAAATGAAAAATATCTTATCTTATGCAATAAGTTGCTCTCATCTAATGTCAGAAAGAGAGTGCTAAAATGTTACACAAAACCTGTTCTGCTGTATGGCAGCAAATCTTAGAATGTCACTGAACAAATTAAGAAGAATTTGGAAGCAACAGAGATGTGGTTTCAGAGACAAATGTTACGAATACCTTAGACAGCCAGAGTAACTAACAATGATTGTTTAAAAGAAGCTAATCAAAGTAGATGTCTATGTACAACAATAAGAAAGAGACTGACACTGTTCTTTGGCCCTGCATTGAGAACAGAGGCACTGGAGAACATTGTAACAACTGGAAAGATCAGTGGAAAGAGGGGTAGAGGCAAACCAAGAGAGATGATGCTGGATGGACTGAAACAATGGCATGAAGGGATATCATCAAGAGAACTGTTCCAGGCAGTCAGGGATCGCGATCTGTGGAAATGCATGAGAGCCTAGTTTGTAGGGCACATGATGATGCTATAAATACAAATGGGGGTTGTGGTCTCTCTGCATTTCCCTGTAGTAACATACAGATGGGAGTAGCGGACTATCTCACAATCTATAAGACAGAAAATCTGAACTGAAACAAAAGAAAGTGGCAGTTCTTCAAGACCCAAATGAAAACCTAAATGTATGACAGAAATTAGACATTTAGGATTTATTGGGCATGCAGCGAGCAGAAATAATCTTGAAAATTCATCGACAACATGCTAATTTCATAGGAAAAGAGCAAAGGGATGACAAACAGGCAAATACCGGATCATTTGGCTGCATGGTATATTCGTAACAAGAACATACACTTGATCTAAGAAAGGTGCTCATGTGAAGTGGTGAACCATTACCATACATCAGGCGTGGTAACACAATGGCCCACAGAGCAATCTTGACAGACCCATAAGGCTGTAGTACAATTACTATATAATATGGCCCTTTAACTCCCAAAATAGCAGAAACAATAACCAGCTTGAATAGAAACATCTGGAAATATATAATGAGGCTTCAGAATGTGGGTGCATCTGGCCAGGGGCACAGTGAGGAATTATAATCTTAGATTATCCCACATAAAAATATCCTGATACAATGAAATCTAGGTGTTATGTTTATACCGGTTTTTACTATATGGCCCGTGACCAGGTTTTCAATTCAAAATTTGCCTCTTGAACCAAACAAAGGTTGCCTACACCTGTCACACACGCTTATCAACATGACTGTGTGAAAGATGGAAGTTTGGAAGGGCCGAATGTAAGACAGGCCTGCGTGTCTAATTTGTAACCCTTTGAAAATAAATTTGTTCGTTCGTTCGCTCGACACATGACAATGAAAAGGATAAAAGCAAACAAACCCACCGCTAGAGTTTCCAGCCGATTGTGGCTCAAGTCGAGTGATGTGATATTAGAACAGCTAACAAGTTCAGGTATTTCAAGCTTGCTTATTTGATTACTATCGAGACGCAGACACTGTAGCTTCTTCAGGTTGCACAGTCCTCGGCCTAGCACACAAAAACACAGCAAGAAATAAATAAGAAGAGGCAGAAACAAGACATGTTTTAACTCAGTCACTTCCGTGAACTGTTTTAATACAGTTACATGTAGCTAAAAGAGAAAGAAGATGGTATTAAACTTGGCACATTCTGGCATTGAAAAACAAAGCAAAACAGGCACTGATTTCAGATAAATAAATGATTACAAGCTGTTAATGGCATAAAGTGGCCACTGAGTTGAAAACAATGAATACAACATGACTAGAAAGCTCATCAAGAGGCACAGAAAGAAGCACACAGATACAACTAAACATCTCAACCAGTCTTGACCAATGATTCCACCTGTTGAGCTTGAGCTAACTAATGTGCATTGCGTTTGTTTATTTTTTAGTATCAGCTTGACTGTAGTCACCCTTGTTTTGTACAGTGAGTGGAAGTTTGTTTCATGAATGTGTGAATTTGTGAGTTTTTGTTTTGCTGTCTTATTTTATGTCAGGGGACAAATACACTGAGCCCAGTTTGATACAGGTTTACCATGACTGTCTCCGCTGTGGGACATCACACTCTGGACTACTTGAAAGTCGGTGATATACCTAAGTGAGTTTTCACATCTGTTGAAAACTGAAGCAACCAGAAACTATTCTCCATGCACAAAATTACCTACAATTAAAACAACAACAAAAACAGTAAAATTATCTTTTTTTGTAAAAAGAAAGATTAGCTTTTCGGCAGGGTTTAAAAAAAAAATATAAAATGGCCCAATCTCTCTTTCTCTCTCTCTCTCTCTCTCTGCAGAAAAGCTGTCTGCCCACTGAAAGCACTGCACAAAGTATCAAATTGTGAAGACACCCAGTGACAATTATTACAAAAAAATCAAGGCTCACCAATTGTGCCAATTTTATTATGCTGTAGCTGCAGGTGACATAATTCTTTCAAGCTGTGAATACAGACACAAGTAAAGTGGAACAATTATTTCAGTCTGTAAACACAGAAACATGTGCAGATCAATAGTTCTTTCAGGCAGTAAATATAGCTACTTGTAAAGATCAATAATTCTTTGAGGCGGTAAATGTAGATATTTCAAAGATAAAAAATTCTTTCAGGTTGTAAATACAGATACTTGTAAAAATCAATAATTCTTTTAGTCTGTAAATACAGACACATGTAAAGATCAATAATTCTTTCAGGTTGTAAATATAGACAACTTTAAAGATCAATAATTCTTTCAGGCTGTATATATGGACACAAGTAAAGATCAATAATTCTTTCAAGCTGTAAATATGGACACAAGTAAAGACCGATAATGACACATAATTCGGTAAAGTTGTGGATAAACACAAACAACTTTTGAGGCTTTGAATTCATACACACAAGTAAAGAAACATAATTCTTTCAATTTGTAAATACGGACACAAGAAAAGATACATAATTCTTTTAAGCTGTAAATGGGCAGTTTTGTCAATTGGTGGTTCATTGATTTATACAAGAATTGATGGTGTCTGGATGAGTGGGAGTGTATGTAAATGGTGGGTGTTTATAAGTGAATTCAAACACCCATGTGTGAGCATGTATTTTTGGGCAAGTGTAAAAAGACATTAACAGAAAGAAAAAAAAAACTGTATAAAAGTACCTGGGTGGTACATATGACTACTGAGCAAGACATCCGAGTGAGAACATTTCTGGCCACAGCCAGTAAAATCAGGACAGTGTACATCTTCTAACTTACAACGACATTCTGTTTTTCGGTCTCTAGAATGTTTATATGTATTTCTGCCCCTGTGTACATGTACATACATGGAGTTTAAAGCCCTGTCGTTCTGAGAAGCCACAAAACCAACACTTCCGTCTGGGTCCAACCCCTATAAATGTTTGTTCACCAACTTTCTTTAGTGCCTTGCACAAAGGTAGCCCATCTACCAGCACTGATATATCATTTTCTCCTGCACAAACGTTCAGGAGTACTGAAATTGATTATATTTACCAAAAATAGCATTTAATGAGTGGTTCCTTGTGAATAAACAGCTTTTTAAAAGAAGTTATGATGTCATAACATCCCATTTCCAAGAGTGGTTCCAAGGAAACCAGGTTAGGAGCCTTCGTATTAGTCACCATATAAATATTTGTAATGGTCAGAGAGGAGCAAGTCAGTTAATTCTCCACTGCATTCATGTCTACTGATAACTTTTATCTTCTGTAACACTGTTTCAGTTCATTAAATTGAACCTGTTGGGATTATTTTTCAGCGTGTGCTACCTGTGTAAAATGTTTTTTTTAATGACTATTTTGTGGGAAATTCTCTTAAATACAGATCCCTAGCTTTGCTTTTATTTCTAGCTGACTGGGATGAAAGAAGTGAAGAAAAACTGTTTGTAAAGGACTCGTCTCAAGCCTTCAGCACATCAGTAGGTTGTGCTAGACCTATAGTTTTATTGACCAATCAGCATTCAGTGGGTTGAGTGTTGAGCTAATAAACTGATATCACAGTACTCGGTACATTCCCACCATTGCTCCATCCTCATCTTAAGCAGCCAGCGAAGAGTTCCAATTCTGATGGTGCCAGTAATTTGATGGGTGACTTATGAATTAACTTACTGGAACAAGCTAGAGTGCAGATGCCAACACTGTACTACAAGTATACACAGAATACGTACAACCAAAACTAAAGTATGGCATGGGAGCATACTCCACTGCAGTTAAATTAAACCTACACAAACTGGATAAAATACAGAACAGTGGTCTCAGAATCATCACTGGAGGTATGAGAAGCAGACCAATCCATGAGCTGGAGGCAACTTCTGGCCTTCAGAGCTTGAGCCTTCGAAGGGAAGAAAAGGTACTTACTCTCACAGAAAAATTTTAACGCATGAACAACAAACCCATGCACAGAATAGCAAACAACCTAACTAAAAACCAACTAAAAAGACAAAGCTTTCCCCATCTATCAAAATTGTACTATTCACAAAACAGTGACATTCTTTCTATAGATTCTCTAACATGGGAAATGATCCAGGCATACAGCATAGACCTACAGCCTAACTATACAGTCACAAACACAATTCCAGGCATAGACAGAAAGGCTGAAAAATGTGAATTAGTACTGCTTGCAAAGACCCTTGAACATCTCTACAACCGTTATCCAAAACATGGATGGTCACACGTACACACCGATGGATCACTAGAGGGAGCAGACAAAAATGGAGGAGTTGGATTCGTCATCATACTGCAAGATGGGACCACAGCAGAAATGTCATGTGCCTCTGGAAGACTGTCAACAAACTTTAGAGCTTGAGGAAAGAAAAATTAAAAACAACAAAATTGTTTTCCTTTGTGACTGCATCTTAGTCCTCCAGGAGACTCAGAAGGAATCAACAAGACAACATGGAGAGAGAACTGACCCACCAGCTAAACAGACTTACAGAAAACAATCAAATAGTTCTCCAGTGAAGAGACAGAATGCAGCAGGGGTGTGGTTTCTCAGATGATAGTTGTGATCACCTTGGAGAAAGCAGATTGTTGAATAAGTGAATGAAAGATTATTAAAAGGAAACTCTGAGAAAGGAATATACAGTATTCTTTGTTCATATGCTAAGAAAAGGGGAGAGGTGAAAATCTCATCAACACAATTGCTACAGAACATCATGGACCAAGATCTGTGAAAGGAAATAAGTACCTTAGTCACATGAGGATGACAGTTTACAAAGCATAATCCATGAACACAATCTCTCTCTCTCTCTCTCCCTCTCTCTTTTTGCGTTCACAGGCTGTGAATTCTGGCCAAAAGTCCACAATGAAGATCAGCAGGGAGCAGCCCGCAGGTACAGGACTTTGATGACCACACAACCACACAAATAGCTTAATTCTTCTTCATCACATTAGACACCTTTAACCTTGTTTCAATTCAGCACGACAATATGTAGAGGCATGCATCAGGTAAGGCTTCACCTGTTCTGTCCCAACATTTAGGTGGGTGGGGTTAATGGATACTGACATTTCAACTTTTCTGCCAATTAGTAGCATTTATGATGGTAGGGCACTGAGACTTTGCTGGTGTGCCATAGGGCATGTGTTTGTTGGACATTTGAGCCTTACCAGCAGACTGACAGTGGCTGTAGTAATGTACCTCAACGTGGTGATGACGACTTTGAAGGTTGACACGTGATGTACTTTGACAGGATTTTACTATGAGAAACCGTTCACATGAGATGTTGCTCGTCTAAGCTGCGGGCAAATCTGTTGTCAAGGGCTGTCTCAGCAGTTCAGTTTTTCTTTCACTTGACAGAATTTTAACTGAGAGTTGTCATTTAGTGGTACATTAGGCAAGCAGACTTTACTCATGCTCCACATGATTTTGTTAGACATTGGGGTGGGCATATGAGAGTCAGACTGGACCCTACATCTCTGGGTTCCACCAGCTCCGAGATCCCCTGCCAGCTCTGTTAATACTCATTTAAGACATTATCCATGGCGCACGACGGGGACATGCAGCAGAAGTCTTGCATGAGGTTCTTTAAAACCAAAACAGAGAAGGCTGGTGCCCAAGGTGAGGTACGGAGTATCTCCGTGTACCCATCACATCGAATTTAACTTTTCCTCATGCCATACCAGGTGAACACAATGAAACACATTTTTAAACAAATGTCCTGTCTTCACAATAGAGGTTAGCTGAAATGTATCCATTGCTTACTACAGGACTATTGCACAGTGAAACCTCAAAATCTTCCACATGCAACTCTCGTGCTACTGTTCAAAATCTGCAAGAACTGTCTTTCTTCAAATAATAAGTAAATATAAATAGAAATGAAAGAACAGTGAGGTCTGCATTTGACAGACTGCAGACATAATAGACTTCCATTTAATAACTAGAAAATTTTAGATTATACAAGTGAATAATAATTAATTAACAAATTTAAGATTTTAAATTCTTGCTTTTTTGTGTTCTCAGTGGGACTAAAATATACTGCATTTAAATGTTCTTTTAAATTCAAGGCAATATAAAATGTACAATAATGCCGCCTTGATAATGTTGAATATAATGATTGTTCAGATGAACAGACATGACACATCCTTCTCCCAAATTAGTTTAGTTAATCAACTGTGTGTTGTGCTATAAAATGTGCTTTTAGCTTTCTTTTAGCTTTCATTACAAAAAAAAAAAAAGTAAACTTGCACTTACTTTCCTAGTCCATCGATTTCTGTGATATCATTATCATATATTTTGAGCTCCCTGAGATCCTGAAACAATGTGAAATATATATATGTATGTATATATATATATATATATATATATATATATATATATATATATATATATATATATATATATATATATATATATATATATATATATATACATACACACACACACACACACTCACACACAGACACACAATATGTATATAGATTTTGGAACCTCACATGTTTATTATGGGGGTGGGAGATGTTAGAGTTATTGTTAGTTTATGTTTATTTCCCACCCAAACACCCTTATACTATTGGACTTTCCCGGGAACTCCCCACAAAATCTCAGAGTGAGTCCCCGAGATGGTGAGCCGCAATGTATCTATTGCTTACTACAGTACTGTTGAGCAGTGACACTTCAAAACTGTCTACATTGCAACTCTCATATCACTGTCCAAAAGCTACAAGAGCAGTTAGATATTGTCTTTACTACTTGTATTTATCATTTGTAGGGTGAAATGGGACAGTAGAGTCTTTAGTTACAGGATTTATGGCTACATGGTTAACAGTCACCTCAGACAGTGCAGGTTAGGATTTGACTGATGTCCCTGACAGAGAATATCCATCAACTCGGGTGTCCTGAATGAGATCTCAGCATTCTTAAACACTTGGCCAGCTAGTTACATGAGTTTAAACATATGACTGAAGGCTGGTAGTATAGTGGGTTGGGGGGGGGGGGGGGTGTTGTACTGTAGTAGCTAGACGCTTGCTTGTGAACCTAAAGGTTGTTGGTTCAAATCTGCACAGAAAAGATTTTTTTTTTTTTTTAAATGGCCTTTGCTCCTAGGATGACCCAGCCTTAAATGTGTACCAGGTAAAGTCCTCAGAAGTAAAGGCAGCCAGCATGATTTTGACCATATTACTAATCAAGGGCTGACTGATTTATAAAAAAAAAATTATTGAGTCTAGCCTGATAAGCCCCACATACCACTGGCGTGTAAAGGGCCTTTATTTTTACTTTTACCGTAGCATAGTGGCTAAATGTTTGCATGCTGGCTGGAAGGTCTTGGATCGAACCTGCATTGAATATGGTTTATATCAGAACTGACCTTGGCTCTCAGGTCAACCCAGCCACTAATGGATCACAGGTAACATCCTGGGAAGTAAAGATGGCTACCACATCACCCGACAGCCAACTTGTCTATAAAAATATCAGTCTAGCCCTATATGCCCAATGCACCATTGCCGTACAAAAAGAGTCCTTGGCTTTATTAAACACATAGTTTCATTGATTTGTTTGCTGCTCTCTAATAGTTTTAGTAATTCATTTTGAAATTATGGGCCCACACATCTATAAGGCGGCGTCTGTGGCTAAAACATTGCGAGTCTGACTTGTAATCCCAACGTACCGTGATCGAAACCCACTGCGGGCTACGTGGATTTTTATCATGGTATGGGACGTCGCAGGTCCACCCAGCCTCAAATGGGCACCAGGATGGGCTGTCCTGGGAAAGTAAAGACGGCCGGCGTAAAGCTGACCATATTACCCACCGAGTGCCGATTGGTCTGTAAAAATATGGGTGCTCTTTCCATATGCCCGATGCGCCTAAGGGCGTGTAAAGGGATCTTTACTTTTTTTTACTTACACATCTATAAGAGTTCAGATATTCCTAGCGACATAATTAATCCTCTCCTTGTCAAAAATGTATGTTGACTGATCATGTTGAAGATATGCCGACTGTGTCTTGGCTGGACACTTATTTAAAACTATTGTTCATCTATCTCACGATATCATCTCTATACTTGTATCAATGTCTACATCTTGCTGCCTTAAACAGTTTCCCCTAGAACGGTTAGTTTAACTACTTAACTCTTTCAGGACGACATTTATTCTGGGGTTTGGACAACCCTGATTTTGAGAGGAATTCTTTTTACTGCAACATGACAAAGCTAAAAGCTTCCGGAAGAAAAAGTATTGGCTGTATAGAGACATATAATATATCAAAGTAAAGAGAATCTAAACTATTTAGGTGTCATTATTACAACAAAATATTACTAAAATCACACAACATTCAAAGATGTTTGACACATATAAGAATAATTTACACAAAAATTGTTGTGCTTACTTTACCTTTTACTTGTTTGGCAATGCTGCTATCCATTTCTAAGAATTCACATGCCTTCTCTGTTCAATTATGTATCTGCTAGTGTTTATTTGAAATACTCAATTTAAATACTTTGGATGTTACAACTATTTTTGTATGAATTGTCAGATTTCACAACAACCAAAATTGGGAAAACAGCTGATCAAAACAGAGATGATTCGATTGAAATATTTTGTGTAATCTTCATCCTAACCTAAATTATCAGCAATAGGTTTAGCACATGTATTATCAATCATAATATCAAGAGGAATCGTTTTGTTAATTCTAGTTTTTCAAAACATGTTCATACAAATTTGTTTTCCTAACAAAATTTGAATGTCTCTATGAAGCACACCATTACAGTGGTGAAATGGGCTGATTCAAAAAAGCCACTAAAGCGGCGAAGAGTCCATAAAGGGTTAATATGTTACTATAATAGCTCTTCAAACTCAAACATTATTTTAAAGTATAACTGGATGAGACATCAATAATTCTCTCTCCCCCTCTCTTTTTCTCTCTCTAGCTTACACACACATCATCATCATCATCATGTAGCAGGTCCTTTGCAGAACGTCATTCTCATCACAGTCTGCCTGAAAGAAACTTGGTCTCTCGCCAGATCTCCCGCCTCATGTACTTTCATACTCAAGCAGTCACTTATATCCTGTGCCCATCTTCGTGTTGGTCAGCCCCTGCCCCTCCTTCCTGGTATCATGCCTTCTGCCATAATTTTGTCCAATCCGTCGTGTCGCTTGATATGACCAAAATATTTCAGCTTCCAAGGCAGGATGCTATTTATTAGCCAATCTTCCTTGATGTTCAGATCTTTTAAGATATCAATTTTTCTCCTCTTCTTTGTCCAAGATATTCTGAGAATCTTTCTATAGCATTTCAGCTCAAAAGCCCCTATTCTCTTTCTTCAGGACTGAGAGATAGTCCACGACTCACATCCGTATGTAGCCACAGGGAAGATGTATGCTCTGAAAAATCTAATTTTTATCTAATTGCTGGTGTTTAACCATAGACTTTTAAGGTTGTACACACACACAATATTTATAAATGTCAATGAAGGTAACAAAACAAACCTTATTCGATCCCAAGCCAGATATTTTCTGGATATAATTGCCCGATACATCCAAAATCCTCAGCTTGTGAAACTTCTCGAGGTCAGGGGTTGAGGTTAACCCTTTGCCATGGAGACTGACTTCAAAAACTCTGTTTGGGTCTTCCTCCAGGCACAGCTTTAACTGGACAGTGTCAAGAAGCAGACGTCAATGTACAACAAACTGTTTTAGTGGTGTAAAGTTGGTTATATATCCTTTATGATACACCAGAACCAAAAATAACAACTGCACCATTTGTTGGCTGGAAGCCACTGTTCTAGCGGCTAGACGCTCACCTCGGATCGGAAGGACGTGGATTCGGTTCCTGACAGGGGCCGGACTTTTTTCAAAAATGATCTCGGCTCCCAGGCCGACCCAGCCTTGAATGGGTACCAGGTGTAGTCCTGGGAAATAGATGCGGCCGGCGTGATGCTGACCACATCACCTACCAAGTGCCATTTGGTCTATAAAATATAGGTCTAGCCCTATATACCCAATATGCCTAAAGGCGTGGAAAAGGGTCCTTTGCTTTTTTTGGCTGGCTGTGGTTTCATTAGAAAACATTACATTCAGTAGTCTGCCGTTGTCTGATGATCATAGAACTGTTGAAATCAATACAAAGAGGTTTACCATCAAATCATCAGACTTCAAATCCAGGTATTTTATAATTATGAAACTGTATTTGTAATCCTTAGGCCCGACAACAACATCTAGTGTGCAACTGTACCAAATATTTCGAATTTAACAGTTTACCAAACATACAGAATATATCAGTATTCAAGCTAATGGAAACACTCAAAGCATCTTGTAATAGAGTAGCTAATGATGTCTGACTGGCTGATTTGTTTCATAGTTCTGACTGCATTATATACAAAACAGGATGTTTAGCCTTCTTCAGCAAAACTCTGGGAGGAACCATGTGTATGGCAGACATGATCCTCTGTGCAACTGAAAGTTTAAAAAAAGCTGCCCCAAATATGCTCCTACCCCCACTTCCTTTTCAAAAAAATAAAAAGATTAAGTCAAACTCTTTTTGGGAGGTTACCTGAAAAATAACCCCAGATTCCCACTATAGTTTTATTATAGGTAAAGAGAAAATTCACTTTGTAACCAACAATGTATGAATACACTAAAAAACTCACTATATCACTTGTGGAAAGTCCTTTCTTTCTTTGCTTGGAACTGTTGGATCGTAGAGCTGTATCTCCAATATCTAGGAATTTGACATCCTGCCTTGAGTCTTGACTTTCAGGTTGTGATTTTCTCCTTTCTGAAAGTCTCCGTACATTAGCACTGCCAGGTGGTGGTCTGGTTTTAGTAGCACTTACAGAAGCAATTGCCCCTTCTGTTGATAATGTTCTCTTGAATATTCTTCTCTCAATACTAGTGGAAGACAGAATGGAAGACAGAACATATATTAAATTGTAGCTAGTTAAAGACAGAACTTACATGAAATTGTTGCTAATGGAAGACAGCACATACATGAAATTGTAACTAGTGGAAGATAGAACACAAATGAAATTGTAGCTAGTGGAAGACAGAACATACATGAAACTGTAGCTAGTTAAAGATAGAACTTACATGAAATTGTTGCTAATGGAAAATAGAACATACAATAACTTGTAGCTAGTGAAAAATAGAACACACATGGAACTGTAGCTAGTGGAAGATAGAACATACATGCAATGGTAGCTAGTGGAAGACAGAAAATTCATGGAACTGTAGCTAGTGGAAGACAGAACATACATGAAACTGTAGCAGGTGGACAGAACATACATGGAACTGTAGCAGGTGGAGGACAGAACATACATGAAACTGTAGCTAGTGAAGGACAAAACATACATGAAACTGTAGCTAGTGGAAGACATAATATAACAGAATTGTAGCTGGTAGAAGACAGAATATACATGACATTGTATAAAAGCATGGTCATGGGCTACCCTTCCACTTCCTTTTCTGGGAATCTCCAAGGCAAAGTGGTCAAAAAATGTGCCCCACACTGTGAAGGTCATGGGTTCATTTTTGGAGGTATCATTCAGTTTTTGAGTGCAGTTTTAGGGACTTCTAGTAATTCTCCCTGTGGATTGTTGCCCACGTAAAAAATCCCTTGGCAGTTGGAAATCCCAAAAAAAGAGTAGCCTAACAGCACTGCCCTGGCAAAATCTGGAATTAAAAATCTGCCCAAAGTATTTCAGGATCCTCACCGATGCAACGGAGTTCGTGCCCTGCACTGAGATTCTTCAGACTCAGGCTTGAGTTAGAAGTAGAATGAAGCACTTATGGGTTAGACCCGTGTACCCTGATGTTGATCAATTGAATAAACAATAAGCAAATTATAAATTTACATACTTGAAATTGTGAAAATCTGTACAGATTATAGCGTTCCAGTAATTATCAACATATTTTTTTAGCTTCAATATAACTTATATTTTACAGTATTTAAATGTGTAAGTATAAGATGAGATTCAAGGTTCCCATTTTACAGTTCACAGTAAGACTTGAACCTCTGTGTATTACCATTTGAAAAATAATAAATAAGAGAGACTCACACAGGTTTAAAGAATAAAATATGCAAAATCCTCTAAAAGTATTTGAGTCTTTCAGTAAAAAAAAAAATTACTGACAAATAATTAATTTTATTTAGAAAAACTTACAACTCTACGTAGTGATATTTTTTTTACATTTACTAGGCCATGGCATTATACATTTGAACAGTCTTTGTCCTTCCTTACTACCTTTCCTTCCAAGAAGATATTTCGGCTGCATATGTTATTTAGTAAGTTAGTTGGGTTATTATCATTGCACTCCAGACATGTCCATAAGTGCTCAGATCCTCCCCTCAGTTTGAACCCCAACGTCTGATGGATAATAGTACCAGTTCTATGTTGATTAACAAGTCTTCTGGTGTGTGTCTTGTTTTTTGCTATGCCGATCCTAATTTCCAAGTCTGCCATTCTGACGAGTGATGTGGATTCACTGCCCCCAAAGTCCTCTATCCTTCTCATTTCTCTACGGGCATTAATAATATCAGCATGCTCCATACATAGGCTGACCGTCAGTAGTGATAGCGGATCCAGCTAACTTATCAGCTCTTTCATTTCCATCCACTCCTGTGTGTCCCTAAACAAAAACAAAGGTGACCATTGGTTGCACATATTATGTGTATGACTGTAATGTTACAGACTGTAAAAGACCAAACCTGTTTGGTCTTCTGCTCGCTGGAGGCACTGCTGATCTGGGACCAAGTGGAAGAACAACATTTATTCCTAGTGAGTGTGGAAGAGCTTCAGCAGATGTCTTAAATTTTGTGTTCATTGTTCATGTCAGTTCTTGGGAAATCCTTGAGAACATTGAGAAAACATGAGTATTCAAAATCAGTGGTCTTAGGAGCCTATGATCAAGGAGATATAAAATCCAACATAAATATTACTATTTATAGAGAAGGAAAGGAAGTAATTACATGACAACATAACAGACAGTGTAACTAATTAGTCATCAAACTACACTTGTTTCTACAGAATGGTAAATGCTGGGCTAAAGAAGGTGCCAATACTCACCACAAGTGTCTAAAAATTATGCCAGTAATCACCACACAAACAATTGTGACTAAAAAAGGTGCAAAACCACAAGAAAATCCCTAGGTAAAAGTAAAGACAGTCAAAGATCAGTTACTGTTGCTTAGCTGGGACATTTTAGGCTGTCCCATATCATAGACAATAGCCTGAAGTTTTGAAAGCTCAGTCCTAGACCACATGAGATAGGTTTGTCAGATTCCTTCCTTGTTGTCTTTTATTCCGAGACAATCATTAAACATTGCAGTATGGTGCTGTGGTCATGTGGTCACAAGTCTGACATCAAATGTATCTGTTCAATGTTTCTTGGTTTATTATGTCTGGATTTTTTCCCCGGGGCACGCCGGTGTGTTGTGAAATTAACAGGTGGACAAACTGGCTGGCTCTGCATAACTTGTTGGAATACTGATACATGATAAGGCAGACGTGGTTAGTGCCTTATGTACAGTTCAGAGGAGCAGATGGATCACCAGTCTGGTGAGATTGATGCAGCAGGGAGCGACGAGCGGTTCTGGCAGATGCTCGAGGCTCAGAGGAAAGGCAAGACGGATGTTTAATCAGAATGCTACTGGCATCATTAGTATCAAAACTTTTCGCTGGCTGCTGAAGATGCGGACGGAGCGCTTATGGCAATTCCCCGAGTGCTGTGATGTCGGTTTTTTAATCAAATCAAATCAATTTAATCTTGGTTTATTAGTTACTTGGATTATCCTCACTGCACTCCAGACGTGTCCACAGTTGCTCAGATCCTCCTCTTAGTATGAACTGCAGTGGTTAACAGCAGTCTGTATGATAATGCTTTATCTGATAACTCCAAAATCTGGATATGAATTTCAACTGTCATGTCCGCCATATCTAAGCAAAGTTTGTAAATATGTTAAAATATGTACTGAAATATAGAAATGCAGCAGTTATATATTAGTTATATTTTTAAAATCTGCAACAGTTGTAACATTTTTCAACTCTTTGAGTCCCAGGGAATGCATCACGCGCTAATTTGTTATAACCGCGCAGCCCAATCGATGCGTGACAAGAGAAGGTTTTTAATCTACCACTGACAGGTTGTAAAACGCGGACCGCTGAATTTCAACTTCCTTTTGAGTTCTTTGTGTCTGATATCAGGCGAGATTATTTATAAACGTGGTTTGAAAGCTGAAAATATAGTATATTTGTGAGATTTGCCGAGTTACTAAGGGTTTGTTTGAAAAGAATATGGCTGCCAAGCAGTAACCTACATGCATGCCAACATCATTTACGGCTTTAGAAGCCTCAAATTTAAATAAAGTATATGTTTAATTGATTTATCTGAAGTAAGATAAATAACGTTGCGAATTAGACGTGTTTCATTCATTTATACAGTCAAACTTTGATGAGGGATATATCTAATGTGTACCTCATGCGAAGGGTACAACGATAGCAAAGTCAGCTGGCACAAATAGAATAAACATTAGTGAAAAGATGATTTTCTTCAGTGTCAGTTAGTTCTAGTGCTATTCCCCTTATTATTTAGGACACATAGCTACAAAATTACAGGAAAATTGAGTGTTATATAAACTTTGTTTTGTTTGAAGATACTTATTGTTTTGGGAGTGAGTTTTCTTTACTAAATAATGGTGCTCTGTTATGATACTTCACAAGATTAATGTGAAGAACTGTTCCCAGTCCCTATCCCAAAATTTGATTGATGAACCTACCAAGGCTGACACTTTAATTATAGTTAATTGTAGTCACCATGTTATTACATTTGAAAAAAAAAATTATACTTGAATCATCTGTTGCTGAAAAGTGGCAAGAACTGAAAAAAAAATATACAATTTTAGGGAAAAAAAAAGTGGGGTTGAACACCAGACCTTTAGATTCTAAGGCGGACGTGATACCAACTACACTAGACTATCATTCAAAAGCAGCGACCAAAAATAATACCAGTATTATAGTATGTGATAAACTGGCATGTGCATCGTCTGTTGTATAGTATCAATTCATCCACATCTTGCTCAAAGGCACATAAGACATAAAAAACCTCCCCTTTACAAAAAAGGAAACACTAGAAACTTACAAATCAAACACAAAGAACTACAGTAACCAATTATATAGTTTTTATTACTGCTAATAAATTTTTGTGTATGAAATATTTCAAAGCAAGGTATAACACACACTGCCACATCACAGTCCTTGCACATGTATCCGGTTTTGCGTTGCTTTTTGCGCATAACACAAACTTTCTTGCTGGGCCCTTCTTCGGTGGTGTTTTGGACTCTATTGTTGAAAGGAAATGTCTTTGCACCAACCATAGTGGCAGATCTTCACTCCTTCGTCCTCCTACACTCTTTCTCTGTTGTTTACAATATTTTCCTAGAATTTCTCTGATTACTGTTAGGTGAAAATCGGCAACAGGAATGTCTTTCCCCACAACAATTTTATATAAGCAATGCACATTTTAAAATCGAGAGATCTAACACGTGAAAAACAAGCTTTTCACAGTTTTTCTAACACTCAATTGAACTAAGAAGTATGTCAGTACGATCTACTGAACCCATGAATTTGTTGTAATCCACAACACACTTCGGCTTCACAATATTGAGCCCAGTTTTTCAATCCTTTTTCCCTGTTGTTACCATATCAGAATTGTGGCATGTTGTTAGCATCCATACCTCACGTTTATCGTACCATTTCATGGCTAGCAAACTTGAAGCAGACTTGGAGCTAATTTCTCCTTTCTTCAACTTTTCGTCTATTTCGGGCAAATGTTTCCTAGTTTTTCGCAGAGTGCCACATGCATTTGTAGCCTGACCATGAAGCCACATAAATAGTTCTGGACTAGTGTACCAGTTATCTACATAAAGTCTGAGGCCTTTTTCTAGATAGGGCATCAGTAAAGTGGATACAGTATCAACCCTCTTCCCTAAACCTGACACAGTAATGACGCTGTTGACACCAGTGTACACTATGAAATCTAAAATGTATCCTGTACTGCAGTCACACATAACAAAGGTTTTCACGCCAAATCTAGTTCTCTTTGAAGGAATGTACTGTTTGAAAGATAATCTTCCTTTGTAAAGAAGTAGTGATTCATCGATAACCACATCCCGATAAGGTGAAAATGCACCCTGAAACGATGTGCGCAGATTATCAATAATGTGTCTAATTTTGTACAGTCTATCGCCGCCTACATTAGCACTGTTGTCTGAGAAATGTAACATTCTCAACAAAAGTCAAAATCTGTCCCTAAACATTATTTCACTAAACACAGGAGTTTTTACCAAACAGTCTTTGCTCCAGTACTCATTTATTTTGAGTTTCTTTGTTCTTGGCATTATCAGACAAACAGCAACAAAAAAATAAATAAATAAATAGTTCGTCCAAATCTGTGTCTGTCCATCGGGAAAGAGGAGAACTTGTAGTGGCAGGTGCCTTCTCAATTACTTCCCTGCAGAACCTGTTAGTTTCCTCTGCAATGACAGTCATCAGTTATTCCGTGCAAAAAAGTAGAAAAAAATCAAGCACTGAACTGTTTGAATTTACAGTAGCAGAAATACAGCCAGAGCTGGAGTCATCAAAATTATGCACTACTGGTATCAATTCATCGGTTGGCTAAGACAACTGATCAATTTTGTGCCGTTTTGATGGCGCTTCATTGTCGCTGCTCTCTGATTCTGATGATGTTTACGTCAGACAGGCAAACAGCTTTTTTTGGACATGCCGGTTTGAGCCGTCGATATTGATGGCCTAGTCAAATGGTCTTGTTCACTGTCAGAAGTACACATTTCAAAGTCATCTTCCCTATCACTCCTTGACAGAAACTCCATCAATTCTTCATCAACTTTAACAAGTTTTCTTGCCATTTTGTACTAATGAAGTTTAGAATAATCCAAAACCACACATATCAGGGCACAAAATACACAGATCACCACCACGCTGTCACTGTAAACAAAGTGACGGGATAGCGCTGAATGCAGTAAACACACCTTAAACACACCTAAATGCACATGCCAGTGCTTTTAATTGTATGTAAATGGGTCAGTTGAATCTAAATATAGCTAATGTATATTGCCCTTTGGCCCCTGAGACAAGTCAAAGAAATCTGTAAGGAAAGTCTAAAAACGAGTTGTTACATCCATAGCAATTGGGGTCAAGAAAAAATAACGTCTAAAGACAGGCAAAGCAGCGTATTTGAAAATGGAAAAGGACGTCCAAAGCAGCGAAAGGGTTAAAGTGCCTTCTTTAAACAAGCGAGCTGGTGGTCATTTTTAATGTTAATTAGATAATATTGCTTAATATCGGCATTTGTGTAATCCATATGTCTGCCTCATCATTCTTCACAGTATGGCATACATGTTGCCAGGCTCATTAGCAGATACCCATAAATGTATAAGGTGTTTACTAAAAATTGGTGAGCTGCAGCCATTTTTATATGTTAACTAGCCCACAATGTATCCAATGTATTTGCGAAATGCATGCACAGTTAGGTCTCGCTGTCCTAATTGCAATGACATATAGTTGTTAAGAAACAAATTAGTCATTGCCATAAAATGCAAACATTTAATTATTTTAACCCCACATTTTACTGGGACGCAGCTCAAATTCCATATTTTGTCAAATACACTATAACTATATATAATTTGTCTATGGTGGTAATTATACGCTACTAAAATGTCAATATCTCCACTTAGTACTAACTTACCGGCTTCACTGGGGTATCATTGGATTGGATATTTTAATATTAGTCCAGCTGAGATTATTTCATAAGTAAAACCCGGCTATCCTCCGAATAACAGTCCCAAATTATCGAGGCCAAAAATATACCCTAACAGGGCCTCAGTCACACATCAAATACGGACTTCCGGCAACTCAAATTCGCACTTCTGGCGACTTCCACCATCGGCGGTGGCGGTATAGTCCCCGGAAGTCCACAATTGACATGTGACTGAGGCCCTGTTAGGGTATATTTTCGGGCTCGACAATTTAGGACCCGTATTCGGAGGAAAGCCTAAAACCCCAATATACAAAACTTCACTAGCATCCCTATAGTATTATATAACAATAATTCAGCTATCCTCCAAATAACGGTCCCAAATTATCCAGGCCGAAAATATACCCTAATAGGGCATTGTGGACTTCCGGGGACTATACCGCCACCACTGAGGGTATCCCCCACGCCGCTCATGTGGCATGGATTGGGGCTAAACTAGATGGCTGGAACTAACAAGCAAATACAATAAAGGAAGCTGCAGGAGACGCAGTAGCTGCTGCTCTTGAGTCCCAGCCATACAGTTTAGCCCCAATCCACGCAGCGTTAGCGGCATGAGGGATACTCTCGGCGGTGGCGAAAGTCGCCGGAAATGCGCAATTTAAGTTGCCGGAAGTCCGTATTAGACATGTGACTGAGGCCCTGTTAGTGTCAGGGTATATTTTCGGCCTCAATAATCTGGGACCGTTAATCGGAGGATTGCCAAACATTCATTCGTCGTTCTTTAAAATACTATAACTCTACAGGTGTTTATTTTCTTTGAACTTACGGTCTCTAAATAATAAGAGAGGATTTCCATCACATATTACAAAGCCTTGCTACCTTTATCTCAATCGTGTGAGCATACGAATTCTCCTGGTAACCTTGTCATGGCTTTTTCCCATACCGACATTGTTTACCCGGAGTTAGGAAGCCATGTTGAATGTTTATCTAGGGGGACATCATTCTTGATTCTCGTCAACGAATTACGTTTCCTGTTTTCATTCAACATCATTATCAACTTTTGCTGTTGAGCTTTTCTTCTTCTTCTTCTTCTTCTTCTTCTTCTTCTTCTTCTTCTTCTTCTTCTTCTTCTTCTTCTTCTTCTTCTTCTTTTAAGTGTTGGTTGGGGGTGGAGAGGAAAATGGAAAGGGGAGGGGGTACGGAAAGATCTTCTCTGTGCTGTTTCTAATGTGTTGTATACGTAGGTGATCTTAGTTTTTTTTTTTAAAGGCTTTCTGAAATGAATGAAGTTCAACCCCACCAAAACAGCCCAACGAGCGATAAACATCCGGGCAGACAAATTGCCACCATTCGGACGAGAATCACCCGGGGTCGAGTCCCAGAAACCTCATGCATCCGCTAGGCTATAAGGCGCACCTGATAACAGCCGAAGTTGCGCTTTAAAATAATGAAAAAATGTGTCCCGTTCTGGGATGGTTTTTATTACCTTTCTGGACGAGACCGTTGCATAGTGGTAATATTTCTACAGTATGACTGTGGCAGCTGGTGCCAGAGCCCTATTGTCGAATGACCAAACCCGTTCATCTGTTGCTTTGCAATGAACTGCATAACTGCTTTGGGTGCCAATTTTTAAGTTTTAACTTTATCTTTTCTTGTCCAGTTGGTGTCGCCGTGGTGTACTTTTTTCATAAACGACCGTGGCCCTCAGATCGACCCACATTTGAGGACCAGGTGAAATCCGGGGAAGTAAAGGGGGCTGGCGTAATGTTAACCAAATCACCACCAAGTGCAGACCGGTCTATAAAATGTATGTCTAGCCCTATGCCCAATACGCCTAAAGGCGCGAAATGGTTCCTTTACGTTACTTCACTGTCTTACTCCAATAGCTGTTCTTAAACACTTCTTCTATGTCACGATTTTGCGCTCACTTGTTGTAGTAAGGGTCCATGTTTGACACTGGTAGCATAACGTTCACAAAAAATAGTTCTTATTAGATTTGCATTGATAGATAACGGTATCCTTCTATGTGTCGAATGTGATGTTAATTGTCACAACACCTGATTTGCATTTATACATAGTATGCTGATTTCACTATTCATTCCTTCTTCTGGGATGAAAATCCACCTTATATATATTTAAACTCACTCTTGTTTAATCTCTAGATTATCAAATTTTACTGATTTTTGTAATGCCTACCCATCACTATTGTGGCTGTTTTTTTTTTTTTTAATACTTATTTTTAGAGTGACAGATTCGCTGGTTCCCCACAACTATATGGCGAATAGATGAACGACAGTTACATGATGCCCACAACCCAACCCTGGTTACGCCTTATTTCTCCAACCCCTCCCTTCCTAGACACTCAGTGTACGCTGTTGTGCCTGTTGGCATCTACTCCGCACATTTCCAAGACAGACTGACCCCATTTTTCGCTTCCAGTCCGCGCGTTGGTGATATATAGGCGACCTGTCCTAGTCATCGTCCTGAACGAAGTTTTTTTCGCCAGGAAGTCAGATGAGTATCATTTATTTTGTACATTAGAGTCATATGTAGTCACTTCATAGAGCATTTTTGTGTATATATACTGTGTAGTTCTTTATTTGCTGATGAGGGCTAATCGCCGCAACTTCCTTTGTTTGTTTATTGTGATCGATTTTGTAAAGCTAACATAAACTATTTTTTCTTTCTTACCTACTTTTTCTCTTCCCAATAATTTTCTACCCCTTTTAAAAACATGTTGGTAAAAGTGATCAATACAGAAGCGCAGATAGCCCACTCTGGCGAGGAGAGACTGGTACAGGGGATATGGCCAATGCTCAACATTCATAGGAAAATCAAGTAGATTCCATAAACAAACTGCTACTGATACCATCGAATCCGGAACTCTGCTGGCTGCTGGAGATAGGGGCGATGTCGATTCTTACATCAGCTCAGTTTAACAGATTGACTTGATTGATATGTTTACCAACTGTTTCTGCTATGCATATTTGTGTCACCCATAACATTTACACAGCGCACATAACAATTCTGAAATGTAATCTTTTTCTTGGCTTATTAATTCCTTTCGTCCTTTTTAGGACGTATTTTTTTTTTGTTATTTGAAGCCCCACTCTGGCTTTTTCCAGGGGCCGCAATATAGGCAGGCCATCAATATGGCCAATTGTCTTAACGCGGTTTCTGGGACCTCTCCACGGTGATCCTCATCCACATGGTGGCACTTTGTGTCATCGGGTGTTTATCGCTTGTGTGATGTCCTAGTGGGGTAGAAAGTCAGTCAGTCAGTCAGTCAGTTTTCTTGGCTTTCTGGGTTGTTGTTGTTGTTTTTTTTCTTCATATATCGTGATGTATGTTAGGAAGTGTAGGGGAGTTATCAGGCACCCTAATGCATGCTGTCTACCCTACCCTATCATAATCCTATGATGAACCCACTGTAGCACAGCTGTCTTCTTTGCATACGTTGATGTCACACCCTGTTTTGTCTTTAGTTTTGCTCCAGGAGGAGTCGATTGG